AGGAGTGAGCTGCGTGTGCGCGCTGCGTTTTGGTGCTGTGGACGTGGTGAGTGTTGTCGTGTGATTTGATTGGTTGTGTGTGTGTTGTGTGTGTGGTGGTGTGTGTAGTGTGTGTGTGTGCTGTGTGTGTGTGTGTGTGAGTGTTGTGAGTTTGTGGCTTGTGTGGTTGTGTGTGTGCTGGTGTGTGTGTGTGTGTGTGTTGATTGTGCCGTGTGTGTGTGGTGTGTTGTGTGTGCGTGTGGCGGTATGCGTGTTGCGTGTGTGTGTGGTGGTGTGATGCTGCGCGCGCGCGCTGCCGCGTTGAGTGGCGTGTTTGGGTAGCATGGAATTTCCGTATGCCTACAGTACATGGGATAGTATTTACCATGGTATCTACATTTTCCCTTCCGTGTTAAATACCGGCGTACTGAGTATCCGTGCCCTTCACGTCCAGACCAGCTGTCAGCAGATCGTCAGCCCACCAAACAAACGGTGTGACCGCTGCAAAAAATCGATGTGGACATGCAACTAAACATCCTAAAAGCTCTCCCCTTCCATGTCATCGGTCGAGCCTCGCTCGCACCATAAACACCCAGTTTCCGAGTGTAAAGCAGTCACCCGAGCTGAAACGGATGGAAAAACACCGAGCTAAACCATCAAAAAAATCCATCGCCAGCATCAAACTTGAGACCAATTACTCCTTCCAGTCACATGTAAACTTAAGACAAAAGTTTGCAACAGCGGCCCAGCGGCTCACATCTGGTTTTCAAACGCCAGAGTCTTCTCATCAGCGACCAGCTGGGATTCATGGAAGACCACCTGACTTACCTCTTCTGCGTTCGTCCTACCACTATGTGCTCGACCTACTGCTCCCACAGATCCGACTGTCCACTCACAAATTTCGCGGGGCACGGATCGATTGGAATTGACGCTTCTAGCTTAAATTAACTAACTCGATGGTGTAATGTAATTAGCTGTCTACGCTTCTTACAAGGCTGCCAGCTGCTCAATCTTCAACAGGGTGGCTTAAGGCGCTTGCCTTGGCAACGAGTGAGAGTGAGCGAGACACGAACTGCTGCGCAGAAAATCCCCACTGGCATGTCTTGTAGCCCTTGCCTTCACCCGTCCCGGCAAGTGCAACAAAACGCCCGTAATGACCTCGCTTGTCGCATCCCGTTCAATGCCAACGCCTTCCATGTCTCCGAGGCCTGCTCAGCTTGACGCCACCGCCATCATGTGCTCTGATAAACGTGCTATGGAATATCATCATCATACGATGGATCCCCATTACGGACCGTGAAGCAAGCTATATTTACAACGGCTGCTGGAGATTATCCTGGACACTGTGTGCTTGCTTTTTACACCATGGCCAATGGTCAAAGCAGGGAAGATTGAAACTTTTCCTCTGTGGTGCGATGCGCTATCTCATTCAGATCCGTGAGCAGCATGGAATCCGGTCCAAAAACGATCCACCACAATGCTTGGGAGAAGTAAAAAACTCGCCGTGATCATAGCGCTTGTATCTTCCCGAGAATCCCACATCAAACAAGCCGCCGTTCGTGATTGCGCCTCGAAACGCAGAGCATCTCTTGTCACCAGCCTGGCGTTTTTTTTTGTGTGTGTTTTTTGTTGTTGTTAAAGTTTGGTTATTTCACACGCGTTGCTGTGCGCAGGTGTATGGGAGAAAAAAACGGCAACTGCTAAGCTACGGTGTGTATCCTTGCAGGTAGTGCAATAGTTGTTCCCTACCCGTAAACATGACCACATATCGAATCTAGTGCAGCCACCGAACTGGCTGTGTTCACCGGTGTGTGTCGCCTACTACTGTATCGCCCTTGCCTACATAAGATTTCACTGCGGAAAAACACCAAGCATGTGCCCGCTATGTTCGAGCAAGCACGAAAACGTCAGGCGCAGCATCTATTTGGTAGCGCTAGCTCACGGGCAGCGAGCGCTGTGCAGACGTGCAGCGGGTGAGTAATCTGAGGCGACGTAGACTTCAGGTCATGTCCGCACCTCCGAGGCTTATGTTCGTGGCGTCGCTACGGGAACTCAACATTCTCTTTTAGTCTTTATGTTTATTTGACTTGAGTTGTGGCGATTGTTTCATGTGAGTTGTGTCGATTGTTCGTTTGTCCGTTTGGAGGTTTCCTTGAGTTTCAGGACACTTCAGCCCATATCTTTCGCCACACTTACGTCGACCAAAACGCCGTCGCCCAGCATGGAGCAGAATGGGCCATGGTAACTGCTCGGTTGTCTAAAGCTGCTCGTTGTAACCGGTATTCATCCAAAATACTTGCATTTTTTGCTACACTTTGCTCTCCCAAATAATGAATGACAGCAAATGTGCCAATTCCACAGGCTGAATTTTTCCAAACCGGACCAGACGGATAGTCAACCAATTTTAAAGAAATGTGAGTTGTGAACTACCGCTCAAATGATATAGCGATGAATCGCCGCCTTCTGAACTTCTATCGGAGACAACCTTCCAACACATTGACGAAACCCGTTGGTTTGGACCATTTGGGTTACTCTTGTAGGAGTCTGGATTACCATGCACGTCAGTTACCACTTCGCCTGGTCCACACCGCGCACGGTGAGCCATATTCATTAAACATATGTCAAAAGTGTGTTCATTGTTCAGAGCACTCATTTTCATTGACTGATGCTCGTTACATTAACTCCATTATTGTAATCATTTTAAGTTTGCAGATTAACGCAGGGCTTTACACGCACAACACGCTTCGATCCATTCATTACATTATCATTACAAGTCCACTATATCCAGGGTCCCACCATGCTTCAAACCAGCGCATGTTACTCGGAGCACACCTGAGTCAAAGTGAGTCCAATCCATCTCCCGCCTCCACAGCACTCCACTCCACTCCACTCCAGCAGCGACCAGAACCGCTTACCCGAACCGTGAACATGACGAACTGCACACTTCACTTAAGGTGTCGCTCTTAAACGGTCGTGGTTTAGCCGCCAGTTCGCTGAACACTGCGACAAGCGCCATCGTACCACCAGAGCGTGCTTCGATCGGGCCGGAACGACAGGCCCACCGGAGACCACCCCGCCTGGCGACACACGGCGTCGCTGCCCCGGTCGAGGGCCCCGTGCCTGCCGGAGACCACCCCGCCCGGCGACACACGGCGTCGCTGCCCCGGTCGAGGGCCCCGTGCCTGCCGGAGACCACCCCGCCCGGGGACACACGGCGTCGCTGCCCCGGTCGAGGGCCCCGTGCCTGCCGGAGACCCCCCGCCCGGCGACAACGGCGTCGCTGCCCGGTCGAGGGCCCCGTGCCTGCCGGAGACCACCCCGCCCGGCGACACACGGCGTCACTGCCCCAGGCGAGGACATGCTGCAGAGCGACATTATCTCACCCCTCCGTACCACCACGTGCCACTCTCTCTGCTGCACAGGACATCACGTGTCATGTCACCGGCCACACATGACAACGTTTGCCGTTATACGGGCTGCACACCATGCTGTGTCTGCTTCAGCCTCGAATGATCTCTGCGTGCATCCCAATGGGATACCTAGATGCTCGGATAACCGGACGCGCACTCGATGCGTGTGCTCTGTTGGGATTCCGCCTGCCCGCGATCTACAATTGAGGCTGCCAGCTTATGGTAGATCGTTAATGCCCAACCACCAGTCATCCGGGGTCACGACAATATGACGTCAACAAACAGATTTTAAGGGGTTTTTAGTTCTCATTTAGGTTAAAATTTGATTTGTGTTCATACTCTCCATACAGCACCAAAGGCAAAAACTTAGTTGCATAGATAAACCAGTAGTAAAAGTCTTATTCCCCGGAGGAGGAAACAGGAAAATGGAGAAATAGATTGCTTGATATTTCGGCAGCATGCCTTTATCGAAACAATAGCAGAAGAAAACAATATCGAAACAATAGCTTTTATCGAAGCAATAGCACTTCTGCTATTGTTCAATAAAGGCATGTTGCCGAAACATCAACCAATCTGTTTCTCCATTCTGCTGGCTTTTTCCGTGGAATAGGGCTATTTCTACTGTCTTATCTATGCGAATAATGTTCCTCTGGAGCGCACTGAACAACTACGTAAAAAGTGAGCTGTCTTAAATGTTGAGATTCCACTGCAACCCCCAGCAGCACAGCCATTATA